CTTTGTTCCCCCTCATGTCCATTACACACAATCATTTCTGCTCAGTCTCCTAGGTGAGATGGAACAATTTCTTTCCCTTGGTTTGCTTCCTTGGAACCCTGCCTGCCTGTTTTAGAGCATAGCAGGGAAATAGCTTTGTGAAATTCTGTTGGAATATGGTCCCAGTGCAGGAGCCCTTCCACACTTGGTTCATGTGGTCAGAGGAATACCAATGCCAATCTCTTGTATACTCTGCCATAGGCACTGGAAGCCCAGCAGAAGAGTACCAGCAGATTGTATTCGAGGTCCTTACTTGCCTAGACCCTTCTTTCCTGAGATTTTCCTCAAAATCTACCTTCAGAGACCAGGCTTGGCAAAGAGGGAGGTGCTCCTTCAGCAGCTTGTGGGTGCTGTCAGGATCTCCTGCACCCCTGTTGTCACAGAGGTGTTGGCTGCACAGGAACACACCATAGAGCACGGGCATCAGGAACAGATTGATGCCATCATCAGTAGATCCTTATTCTTGTGCCCATGCACTGGCAAAGGAGACATGCTCCTAGCTGGAACTCCTTGAGGATACTGGTGCTGCTTGGGTTACTTGGTGCAGAACCCATATTCCTGCTGCTCTCTTGAATTTGTTATAAAACATTACTGACAGAGAGGGATCTCTGACATGCTGCCCAGGACACCTAGAACTTCTCAAAAAAGATGGCTGAGAATCTGAGGAAATACTTCAACATTCAAATAACTCATCACTGGATGGGCATCACTGGACATTTTACACTGTTTCATGTTGCAAGTGCTCTTTGCTTGTAAATTAGATTCTTTAGAGCCTTCTTTTGTAGGGCCCTTCTCAAGAGCTCCCTTTCAGCAGCAGTTCTGTAGAGGAGATGATTTTATGTGCCCATTCCTTACTGTGAATATGTGAGTGACCATAGAACCCTTTCAGTATCAGTCAGTGGAGAGAAAAGGAGATTGGGACCATCACTAAAGCTTGGGCTTTCTGAAAATTTCTGAAATAAGTATTTCTTTTCAATGAAGGCTAATTATAAAGTTGTGTTTGTTACTGTAAACAAATGTAGGGAGTACTTGGGAGACCTTGAAGAATCCTTGGGCCATTGCTTTTGGGAGCATTTCTCTGTGCTGAAACACAGTTCTGAGCCAGCACTCTTCAGTGAGTATTTTTTAGTTATTAGTAGATTGCAGATACTGCTGACACAGTAAAAATTTGCTGATCCTTTCTCTCTGGAGATGTGCAAGGCTGTCTTAGATGTATGGTTTCATGTCTTACAGTTCTTTGATGGATTTAACTGAAAACCAGGTAAAATCCTTCACAGACTCTAGGAAAACACGTCAAAGATTCTTTTCTCTTAAAAATAAGGCTTATTTTAGATCTTTCAATCTAAATCATTCCATCTTGGTTTATAATGGTTTTGTTGTTGTTGTCTCAGTGTAAATTGAAATCCAAATGGTGGCTACTGTTACCAAGAAAGACACACAATGCTCAGTGCATCTCAGTACCATTGACAAGCCTCAGATTTTCTCTCTCGTTCCTTGTTAAGGACCAGTCTCACCAGTGCTTATGTTGGCAACACACAAGCCCTCTTGTGGAGTGAGCTCGTACTGGCTTCAAGACAAGAGGTTTTACCACAGCTATTTTCTAGCACTGTATGGTGAAGAGAACAGAGATTCATCAAGCTTCCAACATTTGAATCCTATGTGAAGACAAGTTTAAATTCAAAAGATGACTTTGGCTAAAATAATATCATCATTTCAGAAAGTTTCTTGCTCTGCCTATCAGAAAGCAAGCATTCTTTGTGAATGTTACTGCAGTGATGGGAAACTTGGAATAACAGATTCAGCGCTGTCCTTAGACAACAGATCTGCTGTGGATCTTTTCCACTTGCTTGACCTCTGTGAGAACCACATTTGAAGTAATTCTGGCCCTTAGAGTTAAAGGAGATAAACAGAATTTAGTGTTATCCAAGACCCATTCTCAGAGGATTGTGAGACTGATAATTTCAGTGACCTGCAGCAAGCTTGACTCACAGTTTGAGCAGACCCACAGTTTGAGCAGCGCAGCATGTATTTATTTTATTCACATTTATTTGATGCCCCAAATCAAATATGCTATATAGAACCTGCAAAGCTGAGATTATTGTATACCTTCCAAAGCAGATAGTATCTCACCCTTTTTGGGTCACTGCACTCTTAAATGTCAAGGGGCTTGTGTCTTTTTTTTTATATTTGCATTAAGCCTTTCAGGTGCTAAGAATTGTTTATCTCTCCTGCTGACAGATCTGAATGTCACAGTGGCTGCTGCACAAAGCCTGTCAAGTAGGATAAGAACATGAATCAAATTATGATACAAATCTGTCACAGCTGAGTGACCTCACCCCCACTACCCTTCTTCACATTAATAAAAACACATTTCTCAAGAGTTCAAGTTATCCTTATTCAGGGATGTCTTAAAATCTGCAGCATGTTGACATGGCATTCTAGTCACAACTGTACTATCTCATTATTGCTTTTCACCTGGAAAGGATACTGCATTTGGCAGAACATGACTGAGATTGCTGTTTGTGTCAAGGGACTTCAAGACACATCATCAGATATCTTTGATGTTGGGGACTCCAGTCTGGAGTTACAAAAAGTGTAAATGAACACATGGTCTCTCACTTAAAGTTAGGAAAGGAGTTATCCAGCTCTAACTGGAGGTTTCTCAGATGTGTAGTGCACTTACACGTATGCCTTTCTTCCTTTCTCACAGATTAGCATGGTTCCTTCTTAGGCTGCAGGTTAAGAGACCCAGATCTGTGTGTGTGCTCTCACTTGTATGCCACATGGGCTGGTTTTGACTGTGTGGCTCTGTCACCCCAAGTTAGAGCAGCCATGTGACCTTTACACCTTGAGAGCACTGTCTTTATTGCTCTGTTTATCTCTCTTCCAAAACAGAAACCCAGCATGGTAAAGCATAGAGCAAATTCTTAAAATGTTCCCCAAATTCCGCATGGCAGTTCTGCATATTTCATATGAGGATGTCCATTGCCCTTCTCTGGACACACTCCAGCCCCTCAATGTTTTTCTTGTCATGAAGGGCCTAAAAATGAGCACAGGACTGGAGGTGTGGCCTCACCAGTGCTGAGTACAGGGTGACAGTCCCTGCCCAGGACCTGCTGGCCACAGCACTGCTGATCAAGGCCAGGTGCCATTGGCCTTTTTGGCCACTTGGGCACACCTGGCTCATGTGCAGCCACTCTCAACCAGAACCCCCAGGTATTCTTCTGTCTTTTCATGTTTATAATGTTTTGTGATGGAATATAAAAAAAAGAGGGTCAGTGCCACTGCTGTGTCTTGGCGCAAGGGCAAATTCTGAGGCACATATTCTGGAGTGGGGCCAGCTTTACTGATGCAATGCTGTAAAAAACAAGCTGTAAGATACCACCACATGTAACCATGCAGCACTTTCTCTGGATTTGGATGATATTGCAGCTTTACAATTGGAAGTTTCAATGGCCACATAAGCCAAATGTCTCTTCCAGTACAGTGTATAAATCCAATGTGCAAGTCATGTCAAGATTAAAAAAAAAAAAGAAAAAGCCTGGTATTCTCCAGGGAAATTTCTTATTAAAAACAAAGAGATGTAAAACCTTTTCTTTATTCTTTTTTTTTTTAACAATCTGCAACACTATTCAATAATGCATTAAATACTTATGTTTTGGCACAAACTCGAGAGGGAATTTATTGGAGAACACAGGGGTTTAAAAATATGACTAGGTTGTAGCTTGGCCAAGAATATGCTATCAAATTTTGGGTTCTTTCTTTTTATAAATATGACTCTAATTTCTAACAAATATTCACATTTCAGAGCTGAAGAAAGACCAGTTAAGAAAAGAAAAATGCAAAACTGCAGTTTCCAAAAGAAGAAGCTAAAATTAATGGAAGCCATGTTGGAAGAACAAAAGAAGTTGAGTAGAGCTATGGAAGAAACCTGTAGGGAAGTGCGCAGGATCCTGGATCAGCAGAACATCATTCAAGTTCAAAGCTTACAGTTACAGGAGAGAATGATGAATCTACTGGAGAAAATGATCTCCAAGTCTAATGTGTAGTTTCCTTTGTGAATGCCTCTGAGATAACTATTGCTATTATAGATTACCATTTATTGCACACCATATGTGTGTCTGTTGCCCTATTCCCAGGTTTTCCATGGAAATTAAAACCCTAGTGTAATCCTAGTTCAGCAAAGAAAACATAATGCAGGGTGAGAGCTATCCAGTATGATAAAATTAGTGCAATATATGCCTAAGCTGAATTATTTTTATACAGAAAGGTTAAGGGATAAATAGCTCGGGGAACTGAAGTACTATTTATGCCTAAGTCAGGTATTGTTTTGCAAACAGTGGTGTTGTATATTGCTTCACATCAAGGACTGCAGCTTAATCTGTTTTAGGAGAATGAAATAGTGCATTTCTAAACATGGTTATTGCACCTTGACTTTGCTGATGATTAAACCCTGTTTTGAAACGTATGCCTGATTGTATAAGTGACCTATGGTTCTTGTGAAGAGCTAGTTGGGACCATGACATACATAATTTTAAACTCCATGCCTGATATGAATAGTACTCTAAAGTATGAGGGTAAAAATAGTCTATTCAAATACAATTTTTGATATAAAAACAAGCACCCCCAACCACCTTCCTATATACTGAATACTAAAATGTATAGAAGATACTTGAAGTTGCTTTTGATATTAAACATTTGAATTTTTTTCATTATTAACTGGAATCTGTTGACTTAACGAACAACCAGCAATGAAAACTTTCATTTATTCTCTATCACAAAAGAAAAGTATTGTACTGTGTGTATATACATATATTTAATGTCTATCAAATGAAATAAAGAAAAAGAAGCAACTTACTGCTTATTGCTGGGCAGATAGGGTGCTTTGGGACAGCAAAGAGACTGGGAATGATGAACACAGTGAGAGGTTCACAGTCACTGCTGGCAGGGCGAAGATCCGCGGTGCTGGTGCCCAGATGGACAGGGATGCACCACACGAGGGAGCCGCAGGCACGGAGGATGGTACCCAGCGAGCTGAGATGCAGCACCAGCTCGGGATGGCTCCCCCATAAAACGTGACATTTAAATAATCTTTCACTTAAATTCGAAAATTGGCCGGCAGAATTTCCTATATGCCTTTCCTTTTATGTTCTTAAAAACCCCCATATTTCTGCCTGTTTTACTGTGTTGGCCAAGGTTGGATTCCAATATAGAAACTAAAGAATTAGTACAAGGAACTCAGGCCATTTTCCATTTTCACTATTGAATAATGTCCCCTCTTAAAACTTTGTCTTTGAAAGTGTTTGCATTCTCCTATACAATTTAATGTGTTGTTGCCTAAAGGTGAGCTAAAAAGTTTTAAATCCCTGACACAACAAATTAATCGCTAATTATGCTTGCTGAACAGGATGAAGGTTATATTCACCAAGCAAATTAATATGTGGAAATATTTCTTAGAAAGACCTCCAGGTATGAAGATTAAAAGTTATTAAATATCTAAATGTGGCCCATTCCTACTGATTTTAATTAATGATAACACGATAAGGCAAATGTAGTAGAAGACTGAATTTGGAGAAAATGGTGGCTGCTGAAATATAAACAAAGTAACTGTCCCTCACCCCACCTTTACTACAGGGATTGCATGATTGGAAAAGTGCCAAGTTTCTTTTCTGATTCTGCCAAGATCGTTTTACACATTTCAAATGTAGATCTGTCATGCGTTCAGGTAAGCTACATGTTCAGTGCCTCCTGACACTTTAACTTGTTTACAGCAAGAGATAAAGAAATTCTCCCCTGACTCCACAGGAATTAATAGTATTTACTCTAACTATCTACTTAAATCATATGGCAATTAAATCCAATTAATGAGCAGTAACAATGGCAGCCCAGCTGAACCTTGTACTGCAGAGTAGGTAGCCCCCTCCTTCCTGTTATTACAGCTCCAGATCTGTAGGAACACAAGCATGGAGAAAATCTGATTCCTTGCTTGCTACCACGAGGAACCATGCTATATAATCCCTTTTGTAAATGTGCGAACCTGTTTCTTAAAATGAATTAGGTGTTTTGTCTCCAAAATTATATGAAGACCTGCATTACAAACAGGTAAATGAAGATTGCTATTATTGTAAGATTCTAGGATGCTTCTAGGATTATTCCTGATTAATTTATACCAATTTTTTCTTGTATCAACACTAGTTTTGTTGCTTTATATACCATTTACTCTTGAGAGCTTCTATGCAGACTACCTGTGTTCTAGCCCTGTTTTTGCCTAGAGAGTGAACACAACAAAGCTTTAGACAAATATTACAAGTTTTATGCATGGCAGAACTTTTCTAATGCTTTTTGACAAATTGAAAATTCCCACCTACCCATAGTTTCCTTTTGCTGCTATTCCTTTTGTTTCTGTAGAGACTGGAGATTTACTTGAAAAAACAGGTTGAGTGTTTTTTGTGGGGATTTCTTTTTTTTTTTTGTTTAAGGTAGTCACAGCTTTCTCATCTGTACAGGACAGTTAGCTGCAGGTACAGATATTTGAATGTTTGTGATATTCAGACAAATGATAACTTGAAAGACCTGCCTAGGATTAAAATTCTTGGTAGAATTCCTGGTTTTGCAAAACAGAGACAGACACTGCTTCTGTGTCTGTAAGAGTAGGGAGCTGAGTATAATAAGTATTCAAGGGGAGCACATGAGGAGTTATCCAAGTTTATCATTTTAACTATGACATTAAAGGAACTCCCTCATGGCTTCTAGAGGTGTGCTCAACAAAGAAACTGTAGCACAGGAAAACAAATTTCTTATTTTCAGGGCAGTAACGGGGCCAACTCAGTTTGATATCACTTTCACCAAATGAAGTGCTTGTATTACATGTACACACACAGATGGTGCAAATGGAAAAAATTAAATAGGGAAGGAAATACACTGCCTGGAGGCAGGTGACTTTGTAAGTGATGTGACAATAAAGGAAAAGGAACCTGAGGAGGCAGATGAGAAAATGAGACGTTGAGAAACATGCAAGCAACTGAGAAGCAGATTTTGATGAAAGATGGGGAAAAGTATGTTGGACAAAAGGGCAATGTAAATGCCTCCAAAAAAACCCCATAATGACAGAGATGAGGGAACACAACATTTTAGAAAGTGAAAATGAAAGAAAAAACATAAAGCTAAAGGAGAAAACTTTGAGTATGAAAAGCTAATGCTAGAGAAATTCTGTATGTTTTGAATAGAGAGCCCCTAGAGGTAACTTTAAGTCACAAACAGTGTAGAGCAAGGAATGACAGTTTTTCCCACCAGAGAAAAATAAGGCACTGAGCAAACACTTGGAATCAAGAATATTTTTCACAGAGGAGAGAGGTTAAGTAATTTGTAGGAGGATCTTGTAATAATTAAGCAACATTTTCTCACACTGGTATTAAAAATTTGCAGGGTAAAAATGTTTGTAAATTTTTAAAAATGTATTTTTACTCCTTGACTTCAAACTGGAGAAGCATTTTAAGACTTCAGTTTATTGCAGGCCCTGCCAAGTTTAACAGTTATCCACCAGACCAGAAGTTTATGGATGGGGAATATCTTTTATCATATTCTCCATAAACTCCTCTCTCTTGCAAAGAAAAAAAAAACAGAACAAAAAGATGTAAACAAGATTTTATTTTATTTTTTTCACAGACAGCCTGCCCAAATCGGTGTAGGCAAATAGTTTAAAACTCTGTAGACTTACCCCAAGTTGACAGCCTGGTTCTGTGAACAGTCTCCTGTTCTAAAGTCAATGGGACTTCCCAAATGAATAAATATATTGAAATCTTTATGTATATGTTTGCAAGATCAGTTCCTATGCTGATAATGTAATGTGAAAGACAAATTTAAAAAAGAAATTTAGGAACATTTGGTGGTGTTATGTCAGCAAGTAAATACTAACCATCTGGTCTCTAGATTGCTAATCTATTTCCCCTGATTTTATGGTAGCATGCTTCCTGTGTCTGCAAGCTTGAGACTACATCATTAAACTTTTGTGTTGATCTTTTTTAATGTTTTAACAGAAACATTTGAAATACTTTGCCATTTTGGGTGCGAAATTTTCTTCCTATGCATATTTCTTCTGGCTGAAAATTTTTCATTCTGTTGCAGCTTATTTTAAAGTATTTATTGAACAAAATTTCTAATAAGGATGAATAATTTCAGCTATGTTCTTTAAAAAGCAGACCAGTCATCCACAGTGAATGGCATCCAGTTATGTAGGGCTGACAAATTACAACCAGTAATTAGGCTGTAAGATCTCAGTTTGATCCTAGCATCACATAGTACCAGGTTGAAGGGACCCTGTTCAGCCTTTCTTGGCTTTCTTTGCTGCAGCAGCAGCACCCTGGTCACTCATACTGAGCTTGCTGTCTACCAGGACCCTCAGGTCCCTCACCACAGAGCTGCTACCCAGTCAGCCAGGTCCCCACCTGTGCTGCACTCCTGGACTGTATTTTCCCAGGTGCAAAATCTTGTCCTTGTGCAACCTGTGTGCCAAGGAAAATATAGCTTGGATATTAGGAAAATCTTTTTCATTGAAAGAGTCATAAAGTTCTGGAATGATTTGCCTGGGGAGGTGGTGGAGTCACCATCCCTGGATGTGTTTGAAAAAAGACTGGATGTGGCACTTGGTGCCACGGTTTAGTTGAGGTGTTAGGGCTGGGTTGGACTTGATGATCTTTATGGTCTCTTCCTACCTCATGATTCAGTGTATTCTGTGAACTTCATATGGTTCTTGGCAGCCCTCTATTCCAGTCTCTCCAGGTCCTCCTGCAGGGTGGCTCTCCCTCCCAAAGTGTCCACTTTCCCCCTCAGCTTGGTATTATCAGCAAACTTCATCAGGATACACTTGATCCCATACAGATCAATTATGAAGATATTAAACAGATGTGAGCCCAATATCCATCCCTGGGTGACCCCACTTGTCACAGGCTGCCAGTTTGAAAAGGAGTTAGTTATTTACCACCACCCTCTAGCTGTGTCTGGCTAGCCAGTTCCCCATCCACTGCATGGACCAGTCCAGATCCTAATGTATCCAGCACTTTAGGAGAAGTCTCTGGGAGGACTCATCGAAAGCCTTGGAGACAATGGCCATTGCTCACCCCACATCAGCTGGGCAGGGCCTTGTGTTGTCATAAGGTGATCAGGTTTGTCAAGCATGACTTGCCTTTGGTGAATCCCTGTTGGCTTTTCCCAATCATGTGCTTCATTTGACATGTGAGAGCCCCCAGGAAAATTTGTTCTCCAACTTTCCCAGGGAATGGAATAAAACTCACAGGCCTGTAATTTCCTGGATCCTCCTTTAGGCCCTTCTTGTAGATGGGCTGACATTAGCCTTCTTTCAGTTTTCTAGGACGTTCCCTGATATCCACAACTTCTCCAAGATTATGGAGAGCATCCTTGGAATGACATCAAACAGCTCTGTTAAAACCCTTGGATGCGTAACATCAGGACCCATCAATTTGTAGAGGTCAGGCTCCTGTGATAGTTCACAGACAAGCTCTTCTTTCACTGACAGTCTGTTGGTGTTTCATAATCCTGGATTTTTGATCCCAGGACCTGTTCCCAAGGTGAAAACAGAGGTGAAGAATGTGTTGGGAATCCCTGCATTTTCAGCACTATGGGTGACCAATTCACCTCTGCTGCTGAACAGTGGGCCAGTATTTCCTTCTCTTTGTTGTTCATGTACCTGAAGAACCCTTTTTTGTGTTTTTGACCTCTGGCCAATTTCAATTTGAGCTGAGCTTTTGCTTTTCTAACTGCATCTGCCCACTCTGGCAATGCCCTTGTAGTTCTCCATGGGTTTTCCATCTCTGGTATGCTTCTCTTCTGGTTTTGAGCAGACCCAAAAGCTCACATTTAAGCCAAGGGAGTCTCTAATTCCACCTGCTTTCCTTACCCTTAGAGAGCATGAACTGGTTTTGTGCTTCCAGGAGTGTCCTTGAAAAACTGACAGCACTCACAAGCTCCTTCATCTTCCATGGAAACCTCCCAGGGAATCTGTCCCAACTGAGCTCAGAGCTAAATTTCTTGACTGCAAGCTGTTACCTTAGGGGTAAGCTCTGGATTGCTATGCACTGCAAGAAAAAAAAGAATTGGTGCATACCATTAAAGGTATAAAATTTCCAACAGACTGAAATGTTGAGAAGCACTTATCACAGCTTGAGGAAGGCTTGTTTCACTGAGGGAAGCTATAGGAATATCAATTTTCTACAAACTGAAAAGTAAACATATTTTAAAAATTAATTAAAATTACTTTAAAAACTCTTCAGGATCCTCATTCTTCTCCCTAGAGGTTTAACTGTAATTTATCTTTAATTCAATATAATCAGATCAAATGCAATCTCTTTTACGAATGCATAAAACCTTGTCCACATGAACTTATGTTAACTATAATGCCTATGCTTTCTTTAAACTTACATGAATAAGATTTTCTGTCTTTCCTTTTCATTTAACTTAACTTACAACTTCACTAAATGAAATATACCAGTGTTAAATCTTAAACAAAACTAACTGTCCACCCAGGGCTTAAATCTACAGCTCATCTATTCAATGATTTAAGCATATTTAGAGCTTGTTCACATTGGTTAACGCTCAGTAAAAAATGAAACTGAATTTCACCACAGTTGAAATGGCCTAATACAGATTATACCAGAAATGATGCACTTGTTTTGTGTCTCCTTGCTGCCAAGTTCTTGTGATTTGGTATGTGCATTCTCATGAGAACAATCCACAGCCTTATTTTAGGAAGCTGGTTAAAAAAGGCATACTGTATGTTGGAGAACTTTATTCTTAAGCAGACTTTCCTTCTGTAAGATTGCCTGGATGTGTTCATTCATGCAGTGACCTCCATGCAACATCCCACAGGCACTGTGGTTTGCTTGCAGAAGGCACCAGCACCTTCAGCTGACAGCCCTGTGCTGAGACACCAGGAACCAGCTATAGCTGTGCCTCTGAATCTCTTAGCTGGAGACACAGCAAATTCTTCTATCTTGTCTTGCCCACTCCAAAAGGAATTACTTTTGATGTGTAAGGTATGTGGTTTAAGTCCACTACTAAGAAAGATGTATCTTATGAAAAAAAGCATAGGCTAATTTTCTCTTTCAGATGAAATTAGGATGTTGTGCTAGACAATAACTTGGGGGATGCCAGTTATAAGGGAAAGAATGTGAAAATGCTTATAGAATACCAGCCATGATCACCAGGACTTCAGCAGGAACTGCCTGGGTCACCTGGTTCATGTAAGTCACAGCTGTTATATACTTAAGAAGGTGAAAGAGGAAGTAGGCTGGCACAGGTTGAAATAAATAATCCATCAGCATTCAACTCTTACCATGGAACTGAAATTTTAATAGGAGGCAAGACCTTAACCTAGTTCTCAGAGGAACTTAAGAAGCGATGTTGAAGGTAGTCAGAAGAATTCCACACATGCTGTCAAGGCCAAAATGACTCTTAACAAATGAACTTTCATTTCAGAAGGTCATTTAGAATAACTGCAAGTCTATTCTTAGATGAAACTAAAGTTTTGGTGGAGCACAAAAAAAAAAAAAATCCTCTTTTAGGTAAGTATATCTCAGCGCATTTTATATAAGTTTTAATTGCTGAAGTTAATCATGATGGGTTTTACCTGTAATGAGCAAGTATCTTCTAAATTCATTTAAAAACCATTCAGAATCTAGTTATGAGGTGGGGGAAGATGTGGTGGTGGAAGTCAGTCTGAGCTAAAGAAGATTTGAGTGCCAGGGCAGAATCCTGTCATTCTGTGTTGTTAGGAACGGCCGCTGTTTGTGCCAAAAGCACCTTGGTGGCACTGCAGCCATGCCATGCCCTGTCAGCTGAACTTCAGGAGAAGAAATAACCACAAGCAGAGCTGCATCTCTGGCAGGTATCATACAGACAGACTGAACTTGGTCCAACAAGACTTTCTGTCCTCTCCAAAGTTTGGAGGTAAAAAGCTTAGATGAGGAAATGGAAAAATGTTTGGACTTAACTTTGCCACATACTGACTAGAGCAAGGTAAAATGATTCTTGGGTTAGCTGCTGAGAGTAGAGGATCCCTTCTCCTCACTTGAATGCTACATAGTTTGTTCTACAGCTAGGGTCCTTTATGTTAAATGTGGAGGAATTATGTTAAATAGGAACATGCAAAGTTGATTTCTCTATCACTCGTGTCTCCTCTGCAGTGCCTCAGGCTCTTGTTTTCCCTCAGTTTCTTTTCCTGTAGTCATATATCAATATGGAGAACTCTCAGCATGTTTTTCCTGAGGTTTAGGGATACGAGGGGCATTTTTGTACTGGCATTTGTCCCTCATCATTAGGACATGAGCTTAGTGATACCTCAGCCAGCAGAGTCCTGACGTATCACCCTTGCATGGTGCATGAACCTGCGAGTCACACTGGAAATGGCTCCAAAGAGAAAAAAAAGAGGGAGACAGGAGCAGAACACTGCAGGATATCATGCATGATCCCAATTTAACTTGTTGTTTAGGTGCCAGGATAGAGCTTGCTTCCTCTGTGAGTATTGCAGAATAAGACAATAATGACTTTTTTTGCATGGTACTTAGAACCACGAGGAATAACTCCCTGAGATATCCCTTTCCCTCACAGATCCAAAAATACACAGTAGTTCTTCAGAACATGTGAATTCAGCTGCTGGATGATATACATTTTTAAGCCCAATGGAACTGAAGACACTCAGCTTACATGAGCTCAAAGGGACAAGAGACACAGCTTTAATGGAGCCACAAAGCCAGGTTAATTAGGCAATTTTGAATTAAAACATTAAAGCTTCAAGGCTTAAAGATCAAATAAACAAACAAAACAAACAATCCCTTTAAAGAAAAAAACACCACCAGATTTTTTTTTACATTTTGGTGTATGTGTTTTAACAATATTAGAAGGTGTCCATGTCACATTATGAAATAAAAAATGTACACTCATTTAGACTCAGCATGGCATTTATCAGGAACTGAGGAATTTTGGGCATAAACTCATTGCCCACAAGAAATAGTGGTGTAGAAGTTTCTGTGCTTTCACTGATACCAAGTAAGGTCAAACTCAATTCTTGGGTTTCCAGTTCTTGACAGAAGTGCATTAAGTGTGCTTGTGTCCTTGAAGTTGATATTTTAGCAGATGTTTTGGTTCTAAATATTAGGGTTGCTCATCAGCACTGCAGGTTTAACATGACATCACCTTTAGCAACATGTAGCTATACTTAAGGAAAGAAAAACTGACATCAGTGAGCACTACTCTGTGCTTTCAGTTTTTGACTACAGCAAAATGTTTCATTTGAACTCTGTTAGTGAATTTGGGAAAATAAATACAGCACATTCTATTGTAGGGGAATTAATTTACTTAGGCTATTAAAAATTATATTTATATTGTGGTGCTTTCCAAAGGCACAGTCAGGACCAGGGCCTGGCTGTGCCTATTTTCACACACAAAAAATTGTTCCAGACAGTTTACCATTTGAACCTTCAATTTTGCCAGTGGCACCATTCATATATTTAAATGCACAAAAGAACCTTTCCACACAAAATCTATTTAACGATATTTTAATGTTTAATTAAGTATCATAGTAGGTAAGGACACAAGTACAAAGCCAAGTAGATGCACAAGGACCACTCCTTTTAACATTAAATAGAATTTGGGAGGACATGTCCTCTATTGGCCAGTCAAGATTCAACAGGAGCAGTATCTATCCCCCTTTATTCCTACTATTTCACAGCTCCCTGTAGTAAGTGTTTTTGTACATCAGCATGCATGGATGGGAAACACTATCATCCAAACCAAAATGCATTTATACAAAAATATTTTCTTCCATTTCCCACTGCCAGGAGTGTCTCATACCAGGTAGAAAACTATGTTCAAAATAAAAGGAAAAGTTAGATGAACTAGTAGACCAAGGTAGATCCTGATGGCTGTGTGTTCATACAGTCCTCAATGTACAAAACATGATCTTTGCTTTGGAATTTAAAAAATAAGTTCTTTAACAATGACTTTGCTCCCAGCTGTGTATTAACTGGCCAAGCTAACTACACTGTATATGACACATAGTCTTCCCTGCTGTTCAGAACAAAATCAAGCTAGGAAAGTTGGAATCACATTTGTAAACTGAACAAGCATTTGACACTGATCATGTACATTTTTATTATTTTGAAAAGGTTGAAAACATTAAATGATAAAAGTGATATTTATGTGAGGATTTTTCTGTATATCCAAAAACCTTTTTGGAACAACCAACACTTCCATTCCTTTAACTAAGGTAATTAAACAATGGTAATTAAAACCACAGACTTTGTGTCAGATGCTGGACTATGTTTATTTTCTGCCTTCTCATCTGGTGCTTGTGACAGCAATGATCACAGTCCATTACAGGATGCATTGTAAACCTCTCCAGATGAAGCCTGACAGGCTGTTTGGTGACAGCCACCCCTGGTGTGATTGAGATGTCTCTATGCCCAACATTAAGCTACTTAGCCTCACAAGCCAAAGCTTTTCCAGCCCCAAAGCCACAAATCCTTATCACTTTGTTTCACACTTTCTTCCTTTATTGTCTCCAACAGTGGAGAAAACAGTAAGTTACAGCTGAGACCTTGTGTGGTTTTCTGAGGGGCCATTAATCACCTTGTTCCAGATTATAACATGAAGTCTTAATCACCATTTCCAAAAGTACTGAAGCAAAGCACCAAATTCGTTCTGGATGAGTTGGATTTTTCTGACTGCAAGCAGGGTGTGTGAGCACACCTGTGGGCATGTCAGCCCTCAGTTCTCACTGCTTCCTTCCTGAGTATGACTTAAATAGGAAATTCTGCTGTGGTACAAAACAACCTTCTGTGAGGCCAGACTAATTACATGCTCCTGCGCTATTACAAAGTGCAAACAATTCTGTTAATTATCACAAATACAACAGGTTCAGGTATTTGGAAGGGGTAATCTGACACTGACATGGAGTAATTAGTTTAGAGTTAGCAGATTCTGATGGCACATTTCAGCATCCCTCCTCTTCGAAGCAAAATAAAACATAATACCTGTGTATCAACTCCATAAAGATTCAGTGGGAGACCTGCAGTTACCTCTGTGGGATACTTACCATTCCACTTGTCACTTTCCAAAAGATTTCCTTCAGTTTCTTCAGCTGTTTACAAGGTCAGACTGAAATACATGGATCAATTTCCCATTCTATAGGCAAGGAGGTTGTGCAAGCCAGTCCTAGATCTGTTGGGGTAACACAGCAACAGAGACAGTGGCAAAAGATATAAAGTCTTGACAACCTCCTGTGGCAGCTGGAAATAATTGGGCTCTTAAGGGATGGCAACCCAAACCAACACCTTGGATTTGTGGAACACAATTCTCTACCTGTGACATCTTCCCAGCCAAAAGGATAAAGGATTATAGCTTCTTTGGGCCAACTTAAATCACTGGAGTATTTTTAAAAATTACTGTACCTCACCTGAAAGAATCAACTGTGAGGTTTAAAGTCAACACTCAACATTCTTCCTTGAGTTTTGAATTTTTAGCCTCCCTAAGGACTTAATAATTACTTATATGAGACAGAGTACATCTGAAGAAGTTTGGAAATCTGTTACACTGATCTGCCAGGATATCTTCTGTGAGGATGAGAAAAAGACGTAACGCTTATTTTATTTGATTATTTTTTCTTTTCAGAAGCTTTTCACATAAAACTGGATAAGAGAGATAACAAAACTGGTATCTAGGTCGATCTGAAATGTCTCAGATTGGTAGAAACCTCCTTGGGATGGACTGACAAAGAAAAAACCAGCAGAATGAGAAGGTGAAGGCCAGAGTAGAGGAGCAGGATCCTCTGTTTTTCCAAAGAGCCTTTTCCTTTGCCCTGTGTTTTTGTTTTTCCTGAAGACTCTGGTATCCTGTAAGCACTTCAGCTCAGGATGGAATTATTAAGAAACAACTTCCTAGACTGGGTAAGAATTAGACAAATGACTGAAGTTAAACCATTAAGCCACAGTATTCCAATTTAGATGCTCTCTTACAGACATAATGGCTGTGGGATAGATATACAGCTCTGGAGACTGGGGAAAAAAACCAAAAATCCCCAGAAAAAGGTAAGAATTCTCCTTGAACTTGTGCCTGGTAAGTTCAGTGTCAGGTTTCCTGTGCATAGAGAAAAAAAATTAAATACCCCACATACAAAGGATTGCTACAAGTACATGTTAACAATGAAAGTTTACATTGTTCTGCTAAGATCACAAAATGCTTTCAGGTTCTGCGGGAAAGTCAAAGAGATTTGGTTAATTCTACCCTTTCTCTGACTCTTACATTCTTTACGAGTTTCTTAACTGAGGTTAACTTTTTCCCCCCCTCTTCCTATTTCTCCTATTTAAAATAAGAGCTGTCTCCAGTGTATTTTGAGCACCTGCTGCCTGTGCCCAGCTCCACCGGGCGGTGAAGCTCCCCCCGGCACACACCTTTGTCCTTTAGGCGTTAGTGACCCCTCAGTGCCCGCTCCGCCTCAGGCTGCCGGTGCAGGCAGTGCCCGCCGCTCCCTCACCCCGCGCTCCGTCTCGCTTTATTCCCGCCCTTCAAAGGCGCGGCACACCTGTCTGAGGCGGCTCCCAGCCCCACCTGCGCTCCGAGCCGCGGGCTGTCGGTCCCTCCCCTCACACGGTCCGGAGGCCGGGCTGCGCTCTGTGTCTCGGGTCCGCCGCGCCCGCGGTGCGGGTGCGAGCCTGAGCCCGGCTCCCGCTCCCGGCCCCGTTCGAACGGCCGCCGCCAGCCCGCGCCTGCGCACTGCCTGCCTCGCCGGAGCCCAGGGCGAGGCGAGGCGGCTCGGGGAGACCAGCGAACTACGCGCCCCGTCATGCCCCGCGCGGCCAGCTCCCCACGGTCGGAGCGAGCGGACCGCTCGCAAGGCACGCCGGGAGCTGTAGTCCTCCGGCGCGGGGTATTGTCTCTCCCCTTTCTCTGTCCGGGAACCCGACCGCCACCCCGCCGGGCGAGCGCGGTGACTGACAGCGCCGGACAGCCAGTCGCCGCAGCGCCGTGCGGCCGAGCCCGGCGCCGTCTCCCCGGTGACCGGGACAGCCGCTGCCTCGACGGAGTAGCCGGAGTCCAGGGGGACAGAGGTGAGTGGGTCCGAGCGGGGCAGCGCCCACCGCAGCCCGCCCGGACTCTCCCATCCCCCTCGCCGCCGAGCGCCCGGCCCGGGACCCCGCTGGGATGCGGCGGGAGGAGCGGGGACGGCAGATGGACGGCGGGAGGGGGGACGGGAGCGCGGCGGCGGGGGCCGAGGGGAGGCAGGGGGCAGCCGGGAGCCTTGGCCGCCCCTGTGCGCGCCCCTCGGGCAGCGGCGCTGCCCGCGACCCCCGGAGCGCAGCGCGGAGGGGGCGGCGGGTCCGCCCGGCGCGGGGGGGGGGAGCGCGGGTGCTCCGTGCCCTCCTGTCTTTTACCGCTTGATTTTTCAAATCGTCCCTGCGGGCTCAGGTGCCGCTTCTCCCCTCCCCGCAGCTCCACCCCCCGGGAAGCGGCTGCCCCGGGAGCCGGGCAGTTAATGGGTAACCCCGCGGGGCGCTGCTCCGGACCTGGACCCGCCGCCCGCTCCGCCGGCCCCCGGGTCCCCGCCGGTGCCCGCGGGACGGCCCCGCACCCTTCGAGGGCAGCGCCGGGAGCGTCGCCGGGAGCGGGGCAGCGGCGGCGGGGCCGTGCGAGCGGCTGTGCAGAGCCCGCCGGGCCCGTCCTGATGTCCCCGTCCCGCCCGGGTGTCGCTGCTGCCGCCCCCAGTGCCGCCCCTCTGAGCTGCGTCCCAACAGTTCTGGAACGAATTTGCAAGAAAAGCAGCGGGGAAAATGCCTAACTGCGAACAAAACCTTTCCACCTTCTTGAATACGGCAGATAAATTAGTCTGAGTTGGAGGCGCATGACTGTCTGTACAATAGCTTTAGGAAACTGGGTCCTTGCTCACATGAGTCTTGTCAGACCAAACAGCGAATGTCCTGTTTGTGTTTCTTACACTTCGTACACTGTCTGCAGTGGGAGAAGAGTTTTTATTATCAACAACTTTTTAGCCTGCTGTTACTAACTGCAGTCAGTGTTTTTTGAATTATCACACTTAGATACACCTAAAGGAAACATAATGGTCTGTCTTGCCAATTGTGGAATGCTGATGAGATTTTTTTATTAAAACATTGTCCTGCCCAAGTTTTCAAACAACTGGTAGCTGTCTTCTACAGGTTGTGCTGTTACATTTCTTGTGTAACTTGTCTATAAACATGTACCACATTTGAATAGTTAGTGGAATTCAAATGTGACAGCTTCATTTGAAGTTTGTAGGGACTTGGCATCAGCTCTGCCTCAACAACTGGCACCCATGCTGAAGAGTCTTTTGCATTACTTCAAGACCTGTGTGAGAGATGAGGGAACAGTCCCTCTCCTCTGTGCACTTCCACTTTGCATACTTTATTCTCTTGCAGTTCTACTATGAAAAACAAAATAAAGCCAGACAGAATGAAGCCAGACAGTGTCTCTGCACATTAACATGGATCCTGCAGTGCTGAGCAGCAGCTCATTTCCAGGGCTTTTTGGGAGGTGGTGGTGGTCAGTCATGTACTCCTGATCTCCAGGGGCTGCCCCGTGCCCTCTGCGCTGCTCAGTTACAGTTTAACATGGGCTGCAGCAGGAGCGTGCCTCCTGTTTCTGTTCTCTTTGTTGCTATGAGATAACAAGAGCAGGAGCAGGAAACAAACCCACCTCTCTCCCTTGGAAGTAAGCAAATACATGTTATTTTCTTTGGAGCAGAGGGTTTGAAAATGACATGAAAAGCTAACATGGATATGTAGCAGCGTTCCATACAGAAATGCAGTGTTTGTGGGATGCAGTACTTTTCAACTGTAACTGGTATTTTTGCTGTATTATACCCCACAAAGAATGGATCCAAATGGTTGACCAGAATGCTGAAATCTTGAATGCTTTGTTTTGTTTTGCAGTTCTGTGTCAAAGCTGACGTGTATGGACAAATTATGTTATTTCAGATACTTGAACAACTCTTAATGTGCACATATTAGTGTTTTTGCCAGAAATGTTCTGTGTAATATTTTGTAGTTATAAAGCTACAAAGCTTTATATCAGTGCAAGTGAATTGGTGTTTTTGTTTCACTGGATATGCTATATGTTTTATAATTTATTACAGGAAAAAAATATTCAGACAAGTTTACTTTGGAATTGTGGAAGTTTGTGCCACTTCTGTGCCATATCTCTTCAGCTCCAGGTTTCAAGTCTGCAGAGAAATTAGGAGAAAAGTTAGCAATTAGATAACTTGATAATTTAGTTTTGAACTAGTCTGTTAACAATTTGACAATCAACTAATCTCTGCTTAGGGAAAACATTATTTTCATAATTGTTCTATTTGCCTGTCATGCCATTATTGCAGTAAAACATACTTGAAATGCTGAGGGTTCTTGCAGAAGAGATATATTTGTCCTTCGTCTTGAAGTTTCCTAGATAAATTTAATGAGATGTTGTTTGTCCTGGGTGTAATTAGCATAAAAATTGCACAGTAATATTCAGGTACTGAGGGAGGGAAGACGTGATCTAGTGAAGTAATACATTTTGTCTTTGGTTGGTATTTTTTTGTTTTGGGTTTTTTAGATTCTAGACACATTAATAGCAAAAACCCTGTAATGCTGAATTAGTTCCTAATTTTGCACCTACAAAATTTCACAAATATATTAATAGCTGAAAGTCTTCATATCTCTGGAACATCAGTATTAGAGGAAAGTAACATGTTAGCAGCCTGCTGTTTTGTTTTTATAATTGTCAGGTTTTTGAATGACATTTCATTGTCAGTAGTTATCATCTACAATAAATGCTGGATGTGTAAGGGTCATAGGTTAGGAAGGAAAATGGGTAAATTGACTTGTGAACAGAGTTGAAAGGAAAACCTCTCTTAGCAAATGCAGAATTGTGATGTAAGACAATGTTGGGGTTTGCCTCTTCCCAAGAGCAGCCTAACTCTATTTTCATTGTGTGTTTTTATAGTGGCATTTAAGATATTTTTTATAGATTGGAGAGCTGTATAGATTAGCTGTAAAAAAACCTGTTTTTCTTATCAACCACTTCAACATTATATATTGAATCTCAAGTTTTTTAGTAACAACTGTTTTTTATTATATTTTTAAAAGGAGATTATTTATAATCTCATGCTCTCTTAATGGTTTCCTTTGCTCTTGGAAGCTAGTAGCACAGTTTTAGGTGCCAGATACTACTGGGCTTTGTGGTGACCAGGTTAACAGCACAGATACAGAGGGTACCCAGGGATCACATTAGGCTATTCTCCACACAGCTGAAAACAGAAATGTTCACTATAAGGCAAATCGGAACATTGAACATCGGAACGTATGTATTCATGCTCCTAGATAGAAGGTTTCTGTTTACCGTTGGGCATTTGTTAGTTCTATATTTTTTGAGAACTATATTCTATATAGTTCTATATTTCTTTGAGAACTATATTTTGAAATATTTAATGGCCATTCTCAAAAAGTAATAGACCTAGTTAGAGATAGCTGAATGAACAGTGACCTCTTGATTCCCAAGTTTAGCTCTATCAGGAAAGGGTCAAACAACATGTAAGAAATGAGACAGGATGCCAATTGATGGGGCTTTCTTACAGCAATGTAAGAGTTAAGTTTGGTAAAATGTTTGCAAAGCACTTCTTATGTTATAATTTCCATTTAAAGGTTAGGTGTGAAGTTTCATTACTTCTTAAAGCCAGAGTGGGTTTTTTTTTTGTCTCAAATTATAGGAAAAGTATTGTTAATGAAGCTGGATAATTACTATATTAAAACAATTTGCAAAAATCATTCTACAGTGAATAGTCACAGCTGCACCATGGAGACATAAAACCCTGATGTCCCTGAACCCCAAAAACCTAAACCTCAAAAAGTAAGGCCAACTGGATCTCTTCTGGTATCTTGAAATCTGTTCTATTTTAGGTTTGGAAGGGTCCTGTAGAATTACATCCTTCAGTTGAGTATCTAGCACAATATTTGAGAAACAGCAGTGGTTTCTTAAATTTGGTAATCAAGGAGTTCAAATGTAGATAAGTAATCAAGACTATAATTCTAAATTGTATTTAAGTTTTGGTTTGGTTTTTAATTGGTAAAACTTGTGAAGTAATTGCCTTGTTTGTTCTAAGCCAGGCAGAAATACTGTGAAAGTAGTGTGCTGTGGATCTAATCACATTCTGAGTGTGGGTTTTTTATTTTTTCTGTAGCTGAGAGCAATGTCAGTAGGATTTCTTGGTCATTTTGACCATGCAAGTAGTGAGTGGGACACCACTAATTTACCACTTTAGATATCATAAAGAAATGTGTTGTCTCTGAGTGTATGTGTATTTATATCTTTCTGTGAATGTATTTATCTAAAATGTTGCCTGCATTTTGCCCAAATATGCAAGATTCTTGCTTTCAAGTATGTTATATACACTTTAAGTATGTTACGATGAGACTGAGTAAAGGATAAGCCTGTGGACCAACTCAGAGTAATTACTGTCAGATTAGTTCTCACTTGCTCAGATGGAGTTTATTGCAATTTCATGTAGCTGTAGTCCCACGGGTTTTTCTGTCAGTCATCCTCCAGACCCTGGAAATGAGGATTCATATAGTGCAACAAGAAGATAGTTTCAAAAGTTGAACAAGTTGTCATTTCTTTTATTTGTATTAGTCAATTTAACCTGCTTAGTGGAAGAAAC